AGACTAGCCGTTTTGGCCATTAGACTATAGAGTATCGTAAGTTTATTCAAGTTCAAGTTCAAGTTCATTTTATTTCCAATTCTCGTATAAAAATACATTTAACAATACATTATACATATAGGCAAATATATAAATATAAATAATACAAAGAATATGGAGGAGCCAGCAGAGGCCATTGGCCTTTCAAAGGTCTTATACCGAAGTTTTATTATGAAATTTCCCAAAGCCACAGTGGAATTCAGTAGCTAAGAAACGATGATGTCTTGATGATATTACATCACACTACGGTCTCAATAAAGGTACATAGGTAAACCCATAGTATACACTCATATGAAATAATGAAACATGCTACATAGTAAAAGAAAGAGCTTCATATTTGGGGATGAAATGCTCCATTTAATGGTAGCGCATGAAAGCCATCACTTGTCTTTTTTTGGTTTCACGGTGACAGAATGGCTGATTTATAGAATGATATACGACGCAAGTCAGTACATAGACGTGCAGTCACTCTGTTTTCATTCACACGCACTCTCAACATTGATAAGATGCAGATGCTGCCTCCTCATACTCGTTCAAATTCCGTGCATTTTAGGAAAATAAAAAACTACCAATATTTAAAAAGTTTGATTCAAATTAATTAATTTTTAGTCATGTATAGCCTCTAGACGATATGTTCATTTTACTTTTAGCAGTACATTTATAACAAACAAAAACAAATTCGAGGCTTTAATATTGTGGTTCTTGTTTTCTCTTGTTGTTCATGATCTTACTTGTGCCACTCATGCAGTAATACAATTAAACAATCGTATTCCTTTACAGAAGATTAACTTAGTATTTCTATATTTCTTGATATATGAAAATATGACAATATGCAATGCGCTTCAATTTATTATCTTCTCTCATTATTAGGAAAATTTCGCGTTCCGCGTTGCTCATGCTTAACAAATATTTCTGAAGAAAAACAGAATCACAGCTCAAATCAATGGAATATAATGGACATGAGGGTTAGTCAAGAAGGAATTCACCCTTCGACCCCTTTTAAACTCCAGGTTCCCGGGTGAGACCAGAAGAACAGATCGAGTCTATTGTTGTGAGTCAACACGCCCTAGTCTGGTCGGGGCAGATGGCGTACTGAAAGACAGGACAAATGAGAGAAAGCGTGCGACACATTCCACACAACCCGTGTCTAAATAAGAAACCTTTTCAATTCCTTTATCTTTCTCCTAGTTTATTCGCATCTTGCTGGAACCGTCTGAGGGCAACATATTCCCTTCTTGTTTTGTCCACCTAGCCGGCGTAAGCTTGAAAACAAGCGAGGGAGATAATGGAATGCCCAAGCATAATGCGTCTCTCTGGCAAAAACATTGAATAATGAATTGACAATGAGCAGATGCCAGATACAAATGGGAAAGGTTAATCTTCAGTAACAAAATCATATTTTAAAGATATTGATTTCCACAATTAAAAAAGCAACAAGGGACATTACCATGAGCCTCTCCAGTCCTTTCAATGAAAATCTTCCAGATAGAGATGAACAGCTTCTGATATAACACTGACAAATCTTTTAATTCAAAATAGCTATTATAAAAGGCAATTTTTCCTTTAAAACTAAATATCGGGGGGGGGGGGGGGTGGGGGCTTGTCAAACACAACTGACAAGCGAGAAAAGGTCTTGAAATATTCCTAGTATGCCCTGATGAGGGCACGTACTTGGTTGGGGAGAGGGGGGGGGGGTACTCCAGATGCCTCCCTCGGCTACATGATTGTAAACAAATCAAATTCAAATCCAAATTTATTGAGTAGAATTCAAACTTATAGGTTCATTCTCATTTTTTCTTACAAAGTCATTTAAAAAAAACATCCAAATTGTAGTGTAAAAAACCCATACCAATTCACAAGACATTTGAGTGAAAATGTCAAAAATTGAGGCTTATAGATTTATTTGAAATAATACTTTAATCTCGAAACATAGCACGCCTCATCAACCTGGATAATCCGCATGTTTGGTTTAATATTGTAGACTGAGACGAATCAAATGGAGCGGGACTGAACGTGAATCTAGTTCATGAAATGTTTGTAAATATTAATCATAGAAACCAGCTGAGACATTAACATGCATGCTGGTTGATTGATAGCGAGTCTCATTCTGACAGGATTTAACCCGTTGACTACTGAATTATGTAGTTCTCATTGGCTTAATACAGGGGCTACCCGGTTCCAGTAAGCAATGTGTTAATGCCCGATTGTATGTCTTGCCATGTCAGTATTGTACATACAACTTCATTAAAATATAGTCCTAATAAATATGTGATCTATTTCCTTCTTTTTATGAGACCGGTGCTCTTTTCGTTTACATTGATTACTCGTAATAATATTGAATACTATTCCTACTACTAATACTACTGCTACTACTACTACTACTACTACTGCTTCTGCTGCTACTACTACTACTACTACTGCTACTACTAATACTACTGCTTCTGCTGCTACTCCTACTACTACTACTACTATTACTACTACTACTACTACTACTACTACTACTACTACTACTACTACTACTACTACTACTTCTGCTGCTACTACTATTACTACTACTACTACTACTACTACTACTACTACTACTACTACTACTACTTCTGCTGCTACTCCTACTACTACTACTACTATTACTACTACTACTACTGCTTCTGCTGCTGCTACTCCTACTACTACTACTACTATTACTACTACTACTACTACTACTACTACTACTACTACTACTACTACTACTACTTCTGCTGCTACTACTATACTACTACTACTACTACTACTACTACTACTACTACTACTACTACTACTACTTCTGCTGCTACTCCTACTACTACTACTACTATTACTACTACTACTACTGCTTCTGCTGCTGCTACTACTACTACTACTACTACTACTACTTTTGCTGCTGCTGCTACTACTACTACTACTACTGCTTCTGCTGCTACTCCTACTACTACTACTACTACTACTACTACTACTACTACTGCTACTACTAATACTACTGCTTCTGCTGCTACTCCTACTACTACTACTACTATTACTACTACTACTACTACTACTACTACTACTACTACTACTACTACTACTTCTGCTGCTACTACTATTACTACTACTACTACTACTACTACTGCTTCTGCTGCTACTACTACTACTACTACTACTACTACTACTACTACTACTACTACTAATACTACTGCTACTACTAATACTACTGCTTCTGCTGCTACTCCTACTACTACTACTACTACTATTACTACTACTACTACTACTACTACTACTACTACTACTACTACTACTTCTGCTGCTACTACTACTACTACTACTACTACTACTACTGCTTCTGCTGCTACTCCTACTACTACTACTACTACTACTACTACTACTACTACTACTGCTGCTTCTGCTGCTACTACTACTACTACTACTACTACTACTACTATTTCTGCTGCTGCTGATAATACTACTGCTTCTGCTGCTACTACTTCTTCCACTTCTACTACTATAATTTTGTTTCTAATTATTTTAATTATTGCTTTTTTATGCAATAATTTCTCACTATTATTTAGACGTCGTTTTTAGTCATTGGAATAATGAAACTAGAAATCATCTTAAAGTCAATTAACAAAATTCCATACAAATATGATGGTGAGACATGAAAAACTGGACATTGTAATGCTTAGTACCGGTACTTTGATATAAGTCCCTATAAACTTTGCTTGCCCTTTTCTCAATAAAATCCATTCATTTATTATTGACCTTTCGCACTTATGCTTATGATTTTCATGCCCACTTAGTGGACTTGTCATAAGAGTGTTATATTACGTGTCCTTTTTGACTATTTTTGACCATTTTGTCCCACATTTCGCTTTTAGTATCACCCAATCATATGAAAGGTGTTAAAAGCTTTGGTCAGGCTCGTGTGGACTGACCCTTTTAACGCCTCCATTGTTGAATATTTACAAGCTAGACCTTTCCAACGAATACAAAACGTCTAGTTAAAGTCAGCAGTTAAAATACAAATACGGAGAATTGGAGAAAAGAAAGAGCTTAAGAGGGTAAACTACATACATGTATATATAATTATATATATAGAGGGAGATAAAGAGAGAAAGGGAAAGAGAAAGAAAGAGAGAGAGAGATGGAGAGAGAAAGAGAGAGAGAGAAAGAGAGAGATGGAGTTGAGAGAGAGAGAGAGAGAAATATAAAAGAGGGGAAGAAAAAAAGGGAAACAAAATAAAACAAAACGCGAACAGAACGAAGAAGTGGAATGTACCTCAACAGTTCCCTTGTATATGAGGTTATCACTTAGAAAAAGAAAAAAAAATGATGAAAATGTAAAATAATTCCTTTGATATTCATCGTCTGGCTTTGAGAGTGTAATGACTAAATGATATGTTTTTTAGAAGTATAAGTATAACGCACGATCAGGCACAATGCAAAATGCGCTCTACTGCCTGTTATAATACGAATCGCATAGGCCTATTTGTAATATACAATCGTATGTTTTTCATAATAGCCTTAACTCCCATGTATGACATATTGTATTTCTATTATACGCTTAAAATACCTGGTATTATACTATTTGGTATATATATATTCTGATTATAAACACAATGTAAACAGTCACGTATGTGTGTGTGTGTGTGTTTGTTAGACCAGGGAGATGTGAGTTTAAACTCAAACCTCCCTGGTTAGACCTTTCATGTTTATTTGTATTGTATTTATTAACATTTTCCCCTTCTCAACGGTACAATATGAAACACGATGTATATAAATTATATATGTAACAGTGATTTCAACATAGAGTATAAATAATTCACATAACAGAAGAGGGGCAAAAGCCCGAAAAGCATAGCTTGTGTTGGGAACGCCCATAATAAGTTAACACAGTTACTGAGAACAGAATATGATATAAAAATACAAAATATGATAACTATAAATAAAACAAGTACTTTAAAGAAACTCACCTGATGACAAAATCGAAGCAATAATAGAGTCGTCCAAAAGGAATGAAGTTAATTCTTAAAGAGAAACAGTTGTTGCAATGGCCCATTCGAATCAAAATGAAATAATTGAACGATAGGTAAATATTTTCCACGATTTAATCAAAGCAAAAACTCGAAATCCATGAAGACTTTTATTTTCCCTAGCTCTATGTAATGATCGCAGGAGCTCTCAGCTCGATGTATTATGCTCCGTGCTGGTAGAGCGCTCAGCACCTAAATGAGAGATCGACGTCAATGCAACGCAGAACCCGAACGGCCTAAACGTACTCCACTTCAAAGCTAATGTTTAATACTGTGTGCTCTCTCGGTAAATAAAGCGCCTTTACAGTGTGTATCGCAGTGGCGGATTTAGAACCCATTGCAGGGCGGGAGGAATTAGTGGAAGGTTGGGGGGGGGGGGGGGGGGCTGTGAGAGCGAGGCACAATAATGCGAAATATCTCTGACCAGTGAAATGGGGGCTATCAGAATATCTATTTGGGGGTCATGTTTACTAAATTAAATCTGACAGGCACTATGCCCATATAAGAAGAATGAGAAGAGAGAAGAAGAAGAAGAAGAAGAAGAAGAAGAAGAAGAAGAAGAAGAAGAAGAAGAAGAAGAAGAAGAAAAGAAGAAGTAGATCCTCAGGAACCTTTCGGGCATAAAATGTTGTTGGGGCCATACTTCGGATGATTATTCATTATTCTCTCTCGTTACTTAATGAGTCAAAAATATATAAATGTGTTTTTCCGGAAAGGGGGGGGGGCGGGAGTGTTACGTGCCTCTATACCCTGTGTCAGAGACAGAGTGATCATTAGCAAGTATGAGAGAAAGCCCTTTATACCAAAGCCACAACTTTATTGATTGTGTAAAAAGAAATGATTCACATTTAATCGCTAACTACCAATATAATTACAAACGAATTCCTCAATAATTTGAGTACGTGTGAAATCGCGCGGGTTTAACGAGGCAACGAGAAATTCAAAGTGCAAAGATTCTTTTAAACTGATGATGACCATGATGATACAATGTAATGGAGACAATAGAACCCTCCTGAAGGAAGGTTACTACCCGATGAGAGGGAACCACTCTATCCAGGCACCGCCCAGGTCAGTACTTATACGTTACCAGGGTAACGTATTACAACGACCCTTGTGGTCAAAAGGAGAGGTTTGCGGTACGTGACAAGTACGACTCGTTAACCGTTCTATCAATCAAAATAGAAAATATAACACAGAGAGTGAATGCAGAGAGCAAGGGGGCGTGAGAGAGGTGAACATGGTTCTTTAAAAACATAGAACAGTGGTCTCGCAATCCGGTGACCCGGGTTCGAAACCAAGTCGATGCGCTAGCGCCTTTTGGTAAGGCGTTAATCCTCATTACCAGGTCTCTCGGAGAGGACCTTAAGCCGTCGGTCTTCTAGTTGCTTACTAAAAAGCATTTTTTGCTTTCTTACTTGTCAGGTAAAATAACCACCACTATCGCTAACGATAATAATTATTAGTCGAACAAAAATGAAACAACAACTAAAACATCAAACACAACAAGAACAACACGAGTTTCTATACTATGCCTGCGGAGGAGGAATGTGGGGGTACGACAAGACATTTTCTATGTTATAGCATTTTAATTTTGTAATGTTGGGAATAAAGGGACGCTTGTGCCCCAATGAACACTGGTTCTAACACTGGTGAAGTAAAGTAAATGTAACACTAAACATTCATGGTTTATTTAAAGTTAAAGCTTTTTGTAAACCTTCCACATCCATATTGCGTCCCTCGAGTACGTTGAGTGGCTGTCATGTTGAAGACTTGTTATTCAGGTTTTATCATATGGATTCATCTAGGACGAGTGAGATCTCGGCAAGCTTCGAATTTCAGAAAGTCATTCTTGCGCGCGGGTGGGAGAGACGTGTGAGTCAGACAGTGATCTGATGGAAGAGAGATTGGACGTCATTCACAGATTCGTGATTGAGGGATGACATAGGGGTTAACGAACTTTCCCTGTCGATCAACTCACTTGGCCCGAATTCACAAAGGAGGTTTGTCGACAAACCTAGGTTTATGTGCGTCATATGACGAGTTTAAAAAAAAAACTTGGTTTGTAAAAACGCGTCGAAACGTGTCATATGACGCACATAAACCTACACTGTAGGTTTGTCGACAAACCTCCTTTGTGAATTCGGGCCACTAGGTTTGATTTGTTAGCAATGCTGCTATGAAATACATGGGAATATGAACTGACACATATTATATTACAAGCAAGAAAGACATGGAAAAATTATGTAAAACAGCAAATTTGCCATATTTTTACTTTGATTTGCTTTGTACATGGTCTGAACTAAAATATGTAAATATTGAGGGGACGAATAACATAATGAGAACGATACTATGGAATAATAGTAATATTAAAATAAGGAACCGAATGCTTCATTTTAAGGTGTGGGAGAGAGGAGGAATAAAAAGAGTACACCATGTTCTTAATGACGGTCGATGGAAAAACTCTGACGAAACTGCCCAAAGATATGGGTTACCCAAAATGTTATTTGCTTTTAAGTTTGCTATGTTGAAAAAGGCTTTCCCCTTGGTATGGTTGCGTAAATCACAAGATGTAGAACGTGATGAAGTAATTGATTTACAGACCATTGAGATTTCGACAGGGGATATGATAGATTTGTCAAAACTTAATACGAAAATAATATATTCACTGATTGTGCAAAAAAATAAGAAAAAACCATATATTTTAAACGCATGGCAACAACGACTACACTTACATGCGGATTTTAATTGGTCATCTGTTTTACAGTTTAAATTTCATGTTGTACGGAATAATAAAATCAGAGAATTTAACTTTAAACTTTTGCATATGATTTTACCATCACGATACAATTTATGCAAATGGAAGATCTTAGATTATAATACATGTGAGATATGTAATACGCTAGAAACCACTAAGCATATGATGTTGGAGTGTGAAAACGTAAGATTGTTTTGGAGAATTGTTTCAGGTGTAATCTTCAATTTATGTGGTCTAAATATTCAGATGACTGAACAGATTTTAATACTTGGTTATGAAGTTGAAAACTCAATTTGTCATTTAGTAAATTTAATAATAAATTTTGCTGAGTATGTAATATATAGAAACCACATAAAGAATTTACAATCATTTAATAGAACACATGCGAGAACTCTATATCGTAGTCTTAAATATGAGTTGACATTTTATTTAAACTGTAAAAGTATTAAAAGAGAAAATAACAATATGGTACAGAAATTAATTGAGATGATGTAGACAACGAAAACAGATGTACTCATGAACAAACTAATGGGACGTTGCAATATTTTATTTGTTTATGATTGTATATGAGTTGAATTTGTTTATTTGAAGGAAAAGAAACAAAAAGGAATGTCAATTTGAATAATAAAGTTCCTCTGATTGAGGTTAAAGAGAAAAAAAAATATTATATTACAAACCAGTAATAGTTTCTCTTCACCATCATATCAAGTATTTCTATCTGCTTCTCAATGATGATTGTTTCGTGTGTGTTAAGATGAACTACAAAACAAAGTAGGACCACTGCTTTTCAAGAATCAGGATACAGGGTAGACTGATACCCACCAGTTTATTTAATTGCCTTTGCCCACAATAGGTCAAGTGATTGCAAAAAGCTGAATATTTCTTCAAGAAGGCTAACCATGTCACCGGTGTCAAATGTCTTTTAAAAATTGCAGTCTATGAGCATATTTTACTTCTGAAAGAGAAAGCAAAAATTTAGTGAGCCTAGCTGAGAATGCGTGCTAGTATCATTTGGTGGGGATGTTAGTTGTTTGATTTTGCCTCTATGAGGGGGGGGGGGGGGGATTTCGAAACTGTTGCCCATCAAGTAGAAGACCAAATAATTGAGATATGAGAATGAGAGAGTTCGTAACAGGAGAACGTGAGGAAAAGTGTCTACTATTCGACGAGCAATATAAAGAATAACAAAAACAACAACAACAAACAATTATAAGTGCATCACATTTATATTTTGTTATCATAATTTGTCCCAAATTTTGTAATTTCCGTTCAATCTCTATAGTGCATTGCTATCACATCGTTTCATGGCGATAGGCAAAACAACAAAAGAAGAGGTGAACATCTTGAGCAGGCTGCGTGGAGAAAAAAGAAAGACTAATTTCCGTCAAATAGAATCAGCATCAGCTCGGGGCGATTGAACCATTCCCGCCAGAAAATGTTCGATTATGTCGGAGCAAATTGAGGTGAAAATGGGTCCTTGCTCTAGACGATGTTTAGATGACATTTCACGGCTTGCCTTAAAGCACCCACAGGCCAAAATCTGGACCAGAAAGTGACGTTTAAAATGGGGGCATAGCAAGGCGTTGCGCTATATTAGTTTATTATAATATGCGCTGGGCAAGGATGGAAGGCATAGAAGCATCAACCGAATCTTAACCGTCTTGTTACCATCAGCTAAACACGATATATAAACATCATATACTATTTCTGAGTTTGGTAGCTGAAGGGTTAAACGCAGCTATTGATCTGTTTTCATCCTACCTGCAAAACAGGGAGATCTATTTCACGAGGCGAGACAAAATAGAACAGATGGATAAACTGGTACAAAACAGTGGGGGAGGGGGGGGGGGGACTCTTATACATAATTGATTTATACACAACAGCTTTAAACTCTGACCAGGTTTATAAACGTTTAGAGAGGAAGAGAAAGAAAGTATGGAGGGAGGAGAAAAGAGAGAGAAAAGAGAAAGAGGATGAGAGAAGAGAGTGTGTGAGAGAGAGAGAGAGAGAGAGTACAAAATTAAGGAACAGAATATTAGGAAATAAGAAAAGCAACTTCTCTTCCACTTAGATATCTCCCCAAGATATCTTCCTATTCTCCCCAAACCCTATGGGGTCCTAGCTATCAATCTATGTTTTCACATCGCCACGTCCCGCGCATGCGCGTACATTGTGTTTTTGTGTCACACACACAACAAGCGAATCAATTTTGATGTTTTCATTTCTGTCCATTTCTCAATTATATCAAACGAATACGCCCGAGGGCTTTAGAAGCGAAGGTCTGGCGGGAATCAAACCATTTCCTATTATAGACAACCCCAAGGTTCCCATTGAATCAGACATGACCCAAATACACCAATGTTTGTTTCCGTATTTCACTGACCTACTGCTCCGTCCAATTCAGAACAAAACAGACTTAAAGATGAAGTTGAGTTCTGGTCATGCGATTGCATCGTGAAAGAAACGGTGTGGAATCGACCAGAAAAGGTTGATCATCTAGCATATTAGAATTTGTGTGTATTGCAAGGTTCTGGAAT